CGCGTTTTGTGCGTGGCGTGCCGGCCGCCAGGGCCGGGGGGGCGGACGCGGAGGCCCCGCCGCCGTCACACGGCAGGAAGGCCTCCGGGAGCGAGCGTGGAGGTCTCGCCTTCTAAAAGCAGCCCCTAGAGGAAATCGGAGGCGGTTTCCCGTAAACGGGCGATCATGGCCGAGCTGTCGTGGCCTGTTCTGTAGGGTGCACGTGGGTGCACAAAACATGCCGGCCGCCAGGGCCGGGGGGGCGGACGCGGAGGCCCCGCCGCCGTCACACGGCAGGAAGGCCTCCGGGAGCGAGCGTGGAGGTCTCGCCTTCTAAAAGCAGCCCCTAGAGGAAATCGGAGGCGGTTTCCCGTAAACGGGCGATCATGGCCGAGCTGTCGTGGCCTGTTCTGTAGGGTGCACGTGGGTGCACAAAACAAGAAGTCAGGAGCCGGCAGGCCCAGCAAGTGCCAGAGCAGCAGCAGCAGCAGCAGCAGCTGCAGCAGCCCCACAAAGCTGCCCAGTTGGGCTGAAGCAAGGAACGGAGGTCTGTCTACACGACCAGCTGCAAACACTGCAGAGCTAGCCAGGGACCATGACAGCCCAGCCCGGATGTTGTTGTGTCCGGGGTTCTGTAAAGAGAAAATGGTGCTCCGGGGTTAACCACTCGTATATGATTGCCAACCGTTTATGAGGCTGCCCTGTTTTCAAGGGGGATGGTAATGGGGGTGGGGGGCGCCAATCCCTCGGCAAAAACACCACGAGTTATTTTTGCTATAGTGCCGATGGAGTTACACGGTCTCTCTCCTTACACAGCCTGACTTTCCATGTCAGTTTTTTTCTACTTTCTCTTCAAACTACTAAGCCATCTCTACCCTTCTCTCAGAGCTGTTCATACACCCTCCTCTTCTCTTTCTAACTCATTCCCTTCTGTTTTTGTTTCTACTTCTCAATTATTAAGCTCACTAATTCCTTCCAAGTTGCTAAATCCAGTAATCCGTGTCAGAAGTCATTTTACCTGACCTCTCAACAGCACTGAACAGACGTAATCCCTACTTTAAACGTTTACACCTTGCCTTGGGAGCCACCACCTGCTCCTGTTTTTCTGGCCACCTACTGAGCCTTCTCTGCTGGTTCTGCCTCACCTCCTTCCTCTTAGGACTTTGGAGGAGACCTGAGCAGTGCTTGGACTCTTGAGGTCTCATCCTGTCTCATAACTTTTAAGTCCCATCAATTCAGTAACTGCCACATGTCTGTGGCCCGGACTGCACCCCTGAATTCCAGATTCATATGTGCTCTTGCCACAGCTCACTCGGGTTATGTAATAGGCATCTGGCATCCACCGAGCCTTCTCATCTGAGGATGTTTGGATCCCTTCCAGTGCTCAAGCTAACCCAGGAGTCATCCTTGACCCCAGAATCTCCCACACCTCTCGCCAAACCCATAAGCAAATTCTGTCACCTTTACATTCAAAAGAAGTCTAGAATGTGGTCGCTTTCCGTGGCATTCAAGAATCTGCCTACACCTACCTCCCAAAGTCTGGCCTCAACTACCTCAGCCTCCCCCTCACCACTGAGTTCCAGCCTCTCTGCCATCCCTGATAATCCATGAATATACTGGGACCACTCTTCCCTGGGGACCCGTGTGGCCCACCCGTTCACGTTCTCAGTTCGTTACACTATCTAAAATTACAGTTCCCCAAACTTCCTGACCTCCTCCTTGTTTTTTCTCTTAGTACTTAATACCATTAAACAGATATTTTGCTCATCTATTTATTGAGTCTCCCTCAACTAGGATGTATGTTCCATGCGGGCGTGAGTATTTGACTGTTTTGTTCATTGCCGCATCCCAAGCTCCTAGAAGAGTCCTTCGCACATAATAGGTACTCGATAAATATTTTATGGATGATTGAATAGGGGTTTACAACAGCAATATATTTAACAACAGTATATCACGTTCGCACACTCTCTTTGGACTAGAAATAGTATCCAAAAATTGTCATTTTAAAAACAAACGTATTTAAATAATTTCATCCAATATTTGTGGAAAGATACTGAAGATACTGTTGATACTGGTAACCTTTTGGAAGAAGGGCTAGGAGTAAGGTCTTTACTTTTCACTTATATGTTTTTGTACTGTTATCTAACTACTCATCTAATATCTTTTCATGTCAATATGGAGTATCGGATATAAAGCAGCAGGGACTTATACACTGTTGGGAATATAAATTGGTGTAATCTCTGGAAAACAGATTTTAAAAAGTTACTAAAGTTGAAAATAGCCACACCCTTTACCCAGCAATTCCATTCCTAGGTCTACATCCTATATATTGAGTCTGAGCACCCCCACACACACTTCAAAGAGGGCTCATAGCAACGCTGTAATAACCACAAACTGGAAATAACTCAAGTGCCCATCAACAGTAGACTGGATCGATAGGTCGTAGTATACTCATCAATGGAGTGCCATGAAATAGCCTTGAAAAACAATGAAATTTATTTACACACATCAAGGGAGAATTAACAACGTAGAGGAAAAGAGATCCAGAAGGATGTATAGTATCAAACCGTGAACAGAAAGATCTACCCTGCATTTGTGCCATTATCAAAAAGACACCGGATAACAAATACGGGCGAGGATGTGGAGATAAGGGGACCCCGGTGCATTGTTGGTAGGAATATAAGTGGGTACAGCCCCTGTGAAAAACAGCATGGAGGTTCCTCAAGAAATTACAAATAGAATTACTATATACGACCCAGCCATCTCACTTCTGGGTGTATATCTGAAGGAAACAAAACCGTTATCAAAGATATCTGCACTCCTGTGTTCATTGAAGCATTATTCACAATAGCCAATATATGGAAACAACCTGTGTCCAATGAATGGATCAAGAATATTTGAGATATGCAGTCAGCTCTCTGTATCCATGGGTTCCTCATCCGTGGATATGGAAGGCTAAGGGACTTGAGCATCTTCAGATTTTGGTATCTTTAGGGGTTCCTGAAACCATTCCCTTGCAGATACAGAGGGATGACCGTATGTGTACATACATGGAATGGAATATTATTCAGCTTTAAAAGGAAGGAAATTCTGTCATTTGAGGCAACATGGATGGACCCAGAAGGCATCACACCAAGTGAAATAAGCCAGACAGAGAAAGATAAATAATGCATGGTGTTCCTTATACAGTATGTGGAATCTGAAAAAAAATAAATCGAACTCATAGAAACAGTAAGAAAGTGGTTGCCGGGACTAGAGGGTGGGGAGAATAGAGGAGGTTGATAAAAGAGTACATACCTTCAGCTCTAAGGTGAGTAAGGTCTGAGGATCTAACGCAAAACATAGTGGCTACAGTTGATAACACAGTGTTGCGTAATTGAAGATTCCTAAGAATAAATCATTAGGAAAACATAAGTAAGTGGTAAAGCTATAAAGAAAAACAAGGAAATGACTGTCACGAAAGTCAAGATCGTGGTTCTCTCTCGATGAGAGAGAGGGTTGTCATCAGGGTGAGTCACACAGGATAGGGAGAATAGGACTCAGTTTTTGTCTCTTGACCTGAGTGATGGTGTACAGGTTTATAATCGGTTTTTAATTGCACACATGTGTATTATGCATTTTCTAGCCGTTATAAGTCATGACTTTAAAAACTAATATATCTGGGAAGTGAGATTACGGACCTTTTTTTCTTTATATTTTTAGGGAAGGAGTGAGCCTAGTGGTTATGGGCGGGGACTATGTAGTCAGATCTATACACTCATATTTTATATTCAGTATTTATTACTTAGACAAGTCACCTACCCACTCTGCCTAAGTTACTTCGTCAGCACTGTAATCACAGTGGTGAGATAGGATAGATTAGGAATGAGAAGCAACAAGCATTCGAAAATATTAACTATTACTATAATTAACTCCATTAAACATATATTTTTTTAAACTGAAAATCAGGTTCTTGTGTATGTTCGAATTTATAACTCAGAACTATGAAAGAGAAGGGGCGTGATGATCGCAAGGCTCATGCCCCCAAACTCCCCATATTTACCCATGCCCTGTCGTCTGACCCATATCTGGGCAAGGCGTGAGACAGAGGCAGGGCAGCAGGCTCGCTGTGGATCCCAGGGAAGATGCTTACAGCTCCGAGTGCCACTGCTTGTCACTTCCTTT